CGGCGCCGGTCTCCTTGTCTCGCTCTTGTTTATTCTCCATGAGCTGCCCTTCGAACTCCTGGAAGTCCGACATGCTGAGGCTGCGGAGTAAGGGCCCTGTGCAGCTCTCACCTCGCCTTGCCGCCCGCCCGCTCTAGCCGCTCGCTCCAGGCAGGTCCAGGGGTTCCCAAAGATGAAGAATAAAGGACACGGAGACAGTGGTCAGTTGATCAGCATATAGAGGTTCTCTTGCCGCGTTCTCTCTCCAGAATCTCCAGACAAGTTCTGTCTTTATTCTCGTGTTACATCTGTAATTATACCAGTTGATTTTAATCCTATTTATTCTAATCCAAAGGTTAGGGCGTTTCTTATCTCCATTCCAAGGTTACTCTATTGTTCTATTAAGCTCCAAGGAAGTAACTGAAGATTATCCTAAATAAAGATTATGTAGCTTAAGCCTGATTGTTCGTAGTTAAGGTGATTAACTACCTGCCTGGCACTTTAGTTAAGGGGATTTACTGATTTATTCGCTTCCTTAGTCTTAAACAACCTTTCTCGGATAGGTGACCTTGGTTAAAACACATAGCGCTAAGAAGGGGAGCAAACATATTAAGAACAGTATGCTATATACGCCAGGTCCCTTGAAACATAAGCTGTACAGATTTTTCTTCTCTGTGTCAAGCAGCAAGGGTGGACCGGCTTCCGGCAAATTCCCCCATTTTTATTTTTTAAATGACAGCACGTGTAAATCAGCAGCCACCTCTCGGATTAGGTTGTATAAGACTCAGAGGAAGACTTGTTTGTGACTTTGCCAACAGGTCAGTCCTAGGTTTACCCTATATCTGCTCCCCACATGTTTGTACTTCAAAATTTTGAGCAACACTTTTTAAAAAATCTTTAACAATCTAGATAAAAAATACATTAAGCTCATTATTCAAAGTAGACATAGTTATTTTCCAGATTATAAAAATCAGTGATATTTAGCAGAAGTGTGTTTTTGATTGGTTGAAAGAATCATCCAATTATAAGTATAAAAATCTAAATCATCATGGAGAAACAGATATAATTTTTGTTATCTTTTTATTTCAATATTGAATTTCTCAAAACACAAGATTTTCTACAGGATGGTTGCTTGGTAAATCTAACTGCATAGTTTATTCAATAATTTTGAATAATAACTATGTTTTACTTAATTGTCTGTTACTATGAAAAGAATGACCTATAATTGATTCTTCATTATAATTAAATTGCCTTTGTTCCATTTTTCAAGTTTAACATTGCCTCAGACAATTGGACAGGTTTCTGTTGAGAAACTAGCTGACTACATTCTGGTGAAAACAACCTTTGGTTTTTCATTGGCTTGGGATGGAATATCTGCAATTTACCTCAAAATATCTGAGGAGCTTAAAGGGAAATCATGTGGCCTATGTGGAAACTACAATGGCATTCAATCTGATGATTTCATCATTCAACAAGGTAAGGAGAGCACAATAAATGTGTGGATACTTCTGAGGTCTTTCTCCTTCACCAGTCAAGCTGTTTGTACCCAGAAGGGTACAACTTGTCCTAGGTTGGGTAAAATTAGTAGCTATAACTTGTCTGTTTTAGAAATTTTAAGTGCAGTTTGAATGGAAAAAAAAATATTTGTGTCATGCTTGAAAACCATTATTTATTTTATATTTGCAAAATTAAGATACAGGACTTACTCATGTAACAAATATTAATTGAGCATGTACTTCATGTCAGGCACTGTTGTAAGAGCTTGGAATGCATCAGTGAGTAAAACAAAGACTCCTTCCTTTTTGGGACTTACATTTTAGTGATTCAAATCCATTGGAGAAAAATTATTCACTTTTGGACAAAAGCTATTTTGCATCCAGTCTTGATAGGAATAAAACTAATGACTGCCAAATAATACTTTTGAAAAGATATTTAAATGTGAACAGTATTATAAAAGTTGAATAACTTGAAACTGTTTTTTTTACAAATAATGATGTCTCTATCATCATTTATCTATTTATTCAAAGTCATGAAACTAATCTCTGTAAATTATTAAAAATGTGTTCTCTTATACTTTGGTTACTAGTGTGTACTGGCAATGAAATAAGAGTCTCCCAGGACACAATCATGATTTAGGTCCACATGGAGAGGTGTAATAAAAAAAGAGTACTGTTCTTAGTACCAGTAGACATGGTTGTGAATCTTGTTTCTAGTCTTAAAAGCTTTGTTGTTTGGGGCAACTCATTTAATCTCTCTGATGCTGTTTATTCAGCTGAAAAATAGGAATATGGTAAGTCTGAACCTTAATAGTTATCAGGAATAATAAGAACATATCTTGATATTATTTACAATAACAGTTAATATAAGCACATAACTATATTATTCTCAACCCCTACAAGATTCTGTAAGATGGGTGGTATTTCCTTAACTTTTTAATGACACAAGGTGGTCTGCCCAATGTAACACAGCTTGTAAAATGCTGCTGTCAGGGTTGGATTACAGATCTGAATATCTCCCAATCCTATGCTTAGGTAAATGTGTGAAAAATGGACTTTAAATCTGTAAAGTACTATATAATACTTTTAAAAAATATGTTTTTATCAATTTTAGAGAGAGAGGAAGGGAGAGGGGGAGAGAGATAGAAATATCGATGAGAGAGAAACATCAACATTAATTGGCTGCCTCCTGCATGTCCCCTACTGGGGATTGAGCCCACAACCCAGACATGTGTCCTGACTGGGAATCAAACCTGTGACCTCCTGTTGCATGGGTTGATGCTCAAATGAGCAACACTGACTGGGCTACAATACTTGTTTAATATTATACAATTAATAGAGAAGTGTTGCCCACATGTCGTGTTTTAAGGCACAGTGAAAATCCTACTTAGAGTCTGTGTTCTGGACTCAGAATGTGAGATTCAAATCCTGATTTGCCATTTATTAAATTTTCTAAGTTTAATGATATAGTGATAGTATATACTTCATAGAGTTGCAAGGATTAAAAGAGACAACCCATGCAAAATATTTAGTACAGCGTGTAGCACATAGTGAATGCTCAATACACTTTAACTAATTTATAATTGCTTCCACATGGTCTCAATAAACCTATAATGAAGCTGAAGTAAAAATGTTCCATTAAAGACATTTAAGAGGACCTTGTTAGAAGCACACATTTACCCAAGATGCATAGTGCATCATCAGGATTAGGTCACTAGTGGCTGGTGTAAAGAGCAGGGCTTCAAGGAGCCAATTTCCTCATGTGTACAATGGAGATAATAATAATGACCCTGAGACCTTCCAGCCTGTGAGGATGAAATGAGAAAATGTAACTGAAAATGTTCAAATTCTGTGAGCACAATACAAGTAAACTTACAGTATTGAGATCTCCATGAAATGGTGTTTTGCATCTAATTGGAGATTTAGAGTGAATCTTGAGAGTAGAGATTTAGACTCAAGCAGAATCAATCAAATGGTGATTATTAATTTCTTTTTCTTCTATATGAAAGCATCACACACAAAATAATAACACTCAATTCAGTTCTCTGTATTAGAGTTAGAAAAGACTGCTGTGGGTGGTTCTCCTAGGTCAGCGGTTCTCAACCTGTGGGTCGCGACCCCTTTGGCGGTCGAACGACCCTTTCACAGGGGTCGCCTAAGACCAGCCTGCATATCAGATATTTACATTATGATTCATAACAGTAGCAAATTACAGTTATGCGGTAGCAACAAAAATAATTTTATAGTTGGGTCACAACATGAGGAACTGTATTTAAAGGGCCAGAAGGTTGAGAACCACTGTCCTAAGTAATCCGGGGAACGTTGTATGGAAGTCTGGACAGAAAACAGCATGTGTTCTTATTAGGATTTGAGTTAAAAGTCAGACAGACTTTGATAACCTGGAATATAAAGTGGTTGCACACAGGAAGATAACTGGGCAGCAAAGGGGTGTTAACAGATTATAAGTGGAAGAAGACTGTCAGGAGGCAATTGGACTGAATTACAGAGGCCTGGCAGAAGGCAAGAAAGACCCCAGAGAATATGTGGGAAGAGCCTAAAGAGAGAGTTCAGCTTTTTCACAATTTTGTTGGTGCACAGTATAAAACAGAGTAATTAAGAAACTAACTTACAATAATTTATAGGGATGTGACAAGAACCTGACCTCCACTTTTCTTCCATGTGCTAGTAATGCAAGAAATTTTCTACAGATGAGCTGTGTTATCTTTAGCTTTAAGATCCTAAAGCTAAAATAACTCAGCCTGTACTTGAAAGTCAGTTGTACTTTGCTGATTAGAGAACTCTTTAGAATCAGTGAGTTTAACTGAATGCACAAATTATTAAAAGTGATTAAAATTGTATTTCTTTCTGCATTCCTACTTATTCTTCAGGAATGACTTCACAAAGAAATGAGGCTTTTCAAAATTTCTGTGAATATAGAAAGATTTTAATTCATGTCTGTAGCTAGCTACACATTAACATAGAGACCCTGGTTTACCCTTCACTTTCTCAACATAATTAATATGCCTCACTTGCATTCTTAGAAATGTCACAATATGGACAATATTATTCTATTTGTAGCACCTTCTATATAGAACATTTAAATTTTAAGATCACCTATATAACCAACTCATAATAACCAACTCTTGTGACTCTTTTATTAACACAATGTAGTAAAAATAGGTAAAAATGTGTTTGAAAAGCTGGAATTAAAGTGAACTTTAAGGAGTTTCCATGGTTATTTAGTTACATTAAAATTTATACATAAATATTAAAATAGGTGAGGCTTTAGGAAATGTTTTTAGTTTTTCAGACTTTTAAAAAAGATGTTTTAAAATGAAATGTGACTATAAATTTTCTTTAAGAGTACATTTGTTTTTCCTTTTTTAAAATCAGTGTATTAGACTAGGCCCATGCTTAGTTCAATGTGTAACATTTCCATCAATATCAGAGATAATGAAGTGGGCCAAACTGGAAAGCTCTAGGATTCTAATAATCTTTTAAATAAATATTACAAACTCCCTTGTATTTATTCATTCACTTATTTAGCAAATGTGTTTGAGCACCTACTATATACTAGTCACTAACCTAGAGATACAGCAGAAGGACAGCTTAGGGATGTTGCTAGTTGAGCTTCTGCTCCATAATTCATGTCTGTAGCACCTACTATATACCAGCCACTAACCTAGAGATACAGCAGAAGGACAGCTTAGGGAAGCTCTCTCCCTTCCCATAGTAGGTATTACAGTGACAGATAAGATACATAAAGAGAAAAATTAAAATATAATTTTTGTGAAAAATAGCAGCCATGAAAAAAAATGAGGAAAGAAAGGAGGTTAAGAGTCATAAAACAGTATGTGTTTGGTGGTAGTTCAGGTCATGTGACAGAGAATGCTCCTGAAGAGGTCATATTAAATAGTATCTCATATAACCAACTTTTGCGACTCTTTTATTAACACAATGTAGTAAAAATAGCTCCAAGACCAAATAAGGGAGAGAGCAGGGGTAAGAGTGATTCTGAAGGAGGAGGAACAAGAGCAAGGCAAGTGCAAGAGGCAGTTGGGGATGAGTTTGAGTGAAGACTGGAGTAGGTTGAGCAAGAATAGGAGAAGGTATCAGAGGGGCTGGGCCAGGGTGGGGTGAGGTAAGTGGAGGAGTTTGGGAGTTGAAGGCATAGAGGGGCAATAAAATCTTCGAGGCCAAAGTACAGTTTTGGATTTTACAGTCAGAAAGAGAAGCATTTTTATAGGTGAACTCCCACAATCTTCCCAACAACTGATAGTAGCACATGGACATCACCTTCCTATCTTGAAGATACCAGAGAGAGAGAGAGTTGTCAAACATTTGGCTTGAGAGTTTTGATTCTACTGATGTGGTAGCTATTCTTCAAAGGTAGACGTGTGGCTGTGTAAATTTACATGGCAGAGAACCTAAAGCTCAAATCTAAGGGTAATGGTCTTAGATGGAACTTCGAGATGTCATCTTGTTCGGTTCTGCTAGGTCCTTGAGATTTGAGCTTCAGCCTTCATCTGAATGTGGGGCAGGATTAATTTTCATTAATTGTCAAACTTGTTCTCAGGCCAGGTGCTGAGGCAATTTAAACTTGATCTGGAGCGGAGAGGCCAGAGTGCTGTCTGTTGCTGTGTACACATTAGCGCCGGAATCTTGCCTCTGAAATGCTGAGATAGTGTCAGGATTCTTAACAATCTGTCCTGAACACGTTTAGAAACACTTACCACATTCCACTGAAATTAGTTCACTCCTTATTCTTCTGTTCACCAGGTGTCTTTTTCAGTCTTTTACTGTATGTATGTCCTCTGAAATGTCAAGGGCTCAACACAATTTTTTTTATTGTTGTTTGTCCCCAAAATGGAACTACAATTTAATAAGTTTCTGACTGATGTTAACTATAAGAGGGCTTTCTGAAGATTTTCATACCAAACTTTTACTTATGCTTCTTAGTTTTATGCATATTTTCTCCTCTCTATAGCACAAACTAGAGGCTAATTAGTGCTTTACTGAAGTGCATATTGTGTCACTCACTCTCAGTGAAGTTTTTCCTCTCCAATGATATTAATTTTTATTTAGTATTAACACTTTGTTCAATTTATTTTTATCATGCTAAAGGGATGTTACAGGGTGGGAAAAAGGAGGTTTACAGTTGTGAGTATGCTAAACACAGAGTTTGTTCTTGTATTATTATTTATTAATTATTATATTGTTTTCCATCAGGACAACTGTAAACCTGCTTTTTCCAACCCCTGTATAGTCTCATATCTCTGGTAATTATAAAGTTATTGAATTTAACTTTTTGACCAGGAGTTCATGTTAATGAACTGTGTGCTTGTGGAAAGTGATCCTATTACACATATTTGTGTGTGTGTTTGTGTGAAACAGAGGACTATACAGAAGACATTGCTATGTTTGCAAATAGTTGGTTGGTGCAAACTCCAGATGACATCAAATGCATACCCACACCCTCAGATTTTCCAAATCCATGTTCCAGTGGAATGCCAGCATTTGAGGTAAATTTGGTGTGAAAACTATTGGCATGTTGAATTAACAACCATATATTGTATTTGTATATTTAACATTAAGCATTTTTAATGCAAACACTACATTCTGAAACACTATTAAATTTAGGAAATGTAACTGCAATAGAAATAACTTTACAATTATTTCAGAAATAATGAATGTGATGTTTTGTAAAAGTAGCACTCATTACAACATGTAATTATAAAATATTGGTTAACATTTACAAGCAGAAATTACCTTCTGTTTCCTAGTAAGAACAGAATCTTGCAATTAGATCAGTAGGAAAAAAACGAGAGTACATGCATACCATTAAATATGTCCTGGTGACCTCCATCTTTTTCGCACAGGCGATCTTCTTCAAGTGTCAGATACTGTTGCAGTTTCCTTTTTTGAGCTGCCATGAATATATTGACCCATATTTATACATTGCCAGCTGTGTTAACGATCTTTGCAAGTAAGTGAAATGATCAGTATTTGCAATAAAATTTTCTTTATCCCAAAAGAAGAGCAAAAACCACTTTTATAACTTAGCCATCTCACCAATTCACAGAATATAATGGAAAATGTAAAGCATAAACTACACTAACAGCTTTTAAAAGATCACTGGATAACAGGTACAGTCTGTTCTATATAAGCAGCATGAACAGGATACAGCAATTCTTAAGTATTTTTTATGCCACTGACCCATGTTGGGCATCAAGAAATGTCTGTAGACTCTTTTTCAAAGTAATGTTTAAATGCACAACATAATTTTACAATGGAAACTATATTGAAACAGAGTTATCAATATAGTGAGCGAGATGATTTTTTGATACCAGGACTTTTCTACATGCATTTCAGGTCTAATAACTACTGTAATTTGATCTGGTGATGAGTGTAAATAATATTTTGAGATAGCTGCAACAATTATCGTGAGAAGTTAAAACATGAAAAAATGACATATGAGATATATTGGTGAAAAAGTCTAAGATACTGCTAAGAACATTGTGATATGTTTCCTTAATGTATAATTGAAGGAAATGCTAAATTTCATTTGGAGATTAGTGAAAATAAACATGTAATATTTTTCCCAACCAAGGTCATAGACTCCTGCATTCTCTCCCAGGTTAAGGACACCAAGACTGGGTGGTTTCTAGGGAACAAAGTCAGTAAGACTTCAAAAATATCTCAAAAAATTTTAATAAATCTGCATTTTTTTTTTAAAATTTAAGAAATGTAAATGATATATAGGAACTTTGTTTTAAAAGACCAGTCTAATTTTTGGTTGAGTAAAACTACTTAAATGGCATCTTGGATGGCTTGTTAAGAGGTTTAAGTTAATTAAAGGTAAGGAAAAAGAGGGAAGGTGAGGGAGTATAAAACTGCCTTATTTATAATTAATCTGCTTAGAAATATGACCACACCTCAAAGCAAGGGCTGCTGAGAAATGCTCTCTTTGGCTGGGCACCCATATGCCCAGCAAAAACTTAGAGGGTCTAATACTGAGGAGAAGAAAGGGAACTGGGGATGAAAAAGAGTCCCTGCCACACTCACTTTGTCTGAAATTTCATCATTGAGACATTAACATGATATTTTGGTAGACTTAGGCTTTGGATTTTGAAACCAAATCACTTTCTCCAGGGTAAATAAAAATAGAAGGATGGAGAAACATCTTTTCCTGGCTGAAATTGTCTGATATGCTTGAGGTGGAGAGGCCAGGTTTGGGGGCACAGCAGACATCGACTACCAATAGAAGGGCATCATAAATCAAGTCAGTGGTCATTGATGGAATGAAAGCCCAGTTAGCCTTTCACTCCTCTCAGTATGCCACCTAGGACCAGACCCGCCTACTTTCTCTCTCCCTTAAAGGAGATGCTCTTCATTTGCTATGTAGTAGAGGACTGCATCACGGGGATCCTATAGCATGAGAACAGCATTGTCAGTCTGCTGAACTCAAATTAATTTCCTGTCTGAATTAATATGATAGCATATTAAACTTGATCCAACACACATCTGGTCTGCGCTGAGCATTGTGCCACACCTTGGAGAAACAGAGACAATTTAGACAATTTAGACAGAGACCCTGTCCTGGGAACTCAGATTCTAGGAGGGCAGAGAAACAGGGCTCCAGCAACCACACAAGTTCTGAAGTCAAGCACTGCGATGTGGAGGAGAGATTGCTGTCTTTATCAGAGAGTGCTCCACAGAGGAGATAACATCTCCGTTGAAATTTGAAGAATGATACAATTCCAGTCCTTGAATGGAAGCCCTGTTGCTACTTCTAAGAATGTTAAACTTACCAGCAAGGAAATGATTGTAGACCTGCCACAACAAAGTCAATTGATTTAAAGACAACTACTCCTTAATGCTCATTTTCCTACTAAACTTTACATCCAAAAATAGAACAAAACCCCTCATTTTTCCTCAGTAAATTGAGATAATAATTTCTTTCCTGCCTGATTGTCGTGAGTTTTCGTGTGGTACCATGTGTAGCATGCCTAGCCTGGATCCTAGAGTAACGCAGACACCATAAATGGTAGCTATTTTAATAATAGTTGCATCGGGTTGGAAAACCAATATTGAGTTATCTTGTTAACTTTCAAAGCCTCTGTTAATTGTAGGAAACTATGCACATATTTTAAGGGAAATCATAAACTTCATGTCTTTCTAGCAATTGAATCATTTCACCTTACCCTGTTTTTCAGAGAATATTCTTGTCTGGAGGTTTAGAATATTTTCTCAGTTTCCGGAGATTATGCTCAGTCCTTTTTTCCTTTCAAAGCTCAGTTAATTGGACCAGATAAGCTGCATGACTCCAATTACAGTAGCTCAGGATAAGTGCAATTTGAGATGGGTGGCTTCTACAATAGAGATACTGAAAAGGCTAAGGTTCACAAAGTACAACATTCTTAAGGTCATTATCTTGTAAGATAGTTAGCCATTCAATTTTGAGTTTGAATTGGGTTGAAAAACAAGGCCACTGTCTTACTATAAACCCCGCTCATTTTATAGGTACCTTGTGGATCTGCTTTGGGAATTGGCTGACCTCTTCTATTTGTTTGGGGGAGTTTCTAGAGTGATTATAAAAAATAATTAGAGTTTATTTACTCTTGGCAATATTATAAAAGTAACTAGCTTTAGGAATTTAAACTTGAAAGAATGAAAAATATTTAAAATCTTAGTTAAATGCTTTTTATTCAATATTTCAAAACTGCTGCAGGTTATTAGTATTGGTTTTATTCCTCCATGTAGACTATCAAGATCATGGTATCTTTGAAATAATTTTCATATTTGGAGCTTTTGTTGTAATGGAATTTTATCTGTTGTAATTGGATTTATTAATTTCTACAAGGTCTGTGATGCTTTGTGTGGGAGCCAAAAAATACATACAAGGATTCTGGGAGGAATGTCAGAATTAAAATAGAAATCTTTTTCAGTATAGGGACACCCTTGAATCAAAAGAAAAGTGGTCAAATATTTTAAGACTGATGAAGACAATTTACCTAGGCGTTTTTAGCTGGGATCCCATGTTTATTTGTTTTCTGCATTTATTATAGACTAGAGGCCCAGTACACAAAATTCGTGCATGGGAGGGGGGTTCGTCAGCCCAGCCTGCAGGGATTGGGCCTAGACCAGCATTCGGACATCCCTCTCACAATCCGGGACCACTGGCTTAACTGCATCTTCCTGTCAGCCTGATGCACCTAACTGCTCTCTCCTGCTGGCCTGATCCCCCTAACTGGAGCCAAAAAATACATACAAGGATTCTGGGAGGAATGTCAGAATTAAAATAGAAATCTTTTTCAGTATAGGGACACCCTTGAATCAAAAGAAAAGTGGTCAAATATTTTAAAACTGATGAAGACAAGTTACCTAGGTGTTTTTAGTTGGGATCCCATGTTTATTTGTTTTCTGCATTATTATACACTAGAAGCTCAGTACACAAAATTTGTGCATGGGAGGGGGGTTCATCAGCCCAACCTGCAAGGATCGGGCCTAGACCAGCAGTCGGACATCCCTCTCGCAATCTGGGACCAGTGGCTTAACTGCATCTTCCTGCCAGCCTGATGCACCTAACTGCTCTTCCCTACTGGCCTGATCACCCTAACTGCTCTCCCCTGCTGGCCTGACACCCTAACTACTCTCCCCTGCTGGCCTGATTGCCCCTCACTGCCTCTGCCTCAGCCCCACCACCATGGCTTTGTCCAGAAGGATGTCCGGAAGGTCGCCCGGAAGATGTCCAGTCTAATTAGCATATTACCCTTTTATTAGTATAGATAGTATATTATGTACATGCTGACATCAGTTAGTGTTGGAATATCCACCAGACACTAAACATTCCTAGGGATCAGGAGCTCAAAGATGCGGACTCTGCCAATATCCCCGGTGTGACCCTGGCTCTGTCTTCTCACTTTCCAGAACCGATGATGATGATACCTATTGTCGAGCAGCCACTGAGTATGCTAGAGCCTGTTCCCACGCTGGCTACCCCATTCAAGACTGGAGAGATGACTTCCCAGCATGCAGTATGGTTTCTTATTTTCCTAAGCCCTGTGTACTTTTGTTAATGTTTTAGGCTTATTCTAGTATTCAAAACTTTCCTGAGTACTCAAAACTGATGAATGGCAAGGATTTGTTATTGGTGCAGAAACATTGGTAAACTTGCAAACTTTTGAAATACTAATCTTCTTGAGGTGAATAAAGTTGACTTACAGCATTCCCATTTGCCCATTTCAGCTGATAAATGTGATGATAGCTTTGTCCACCGGGATTGTATCAGTTGTTGCCCAACCACCTGCACATTTGAGAAACAATGTCTTGGGAGCAATCTCCACTGTCTTGATGGATGTTACTGTCCAGATGGTAAGTAAGTGTTTCATGAGAGAAATCATGTCTCCACTCATGGAAAATAGCATCCTGTGAGCGGAGAATCGAGTTGCAACATTCTCTCCCAGGACATCAGGGCCGTTGCAATTTTCAGCCATTGTAGGATTTGGTCCTTGAAGTGATAGGAGAAAATTCTGCTTTTCTTTAATAAAAAGGCTTATTGCTTTGTAAATTTCCCAGGAAATTTGGAATCTAGAGTCCTGGCAATTCTTTTGTTCTCTTGAATATTTAATATATATTTAATAATTTATGAAAGCAATTTTAGAAAAACAAATTGGCAATACAAGATTTTAGTTGTGATGCAGCTTTAACATTTGAAATTAGAAGTAACATAGCAAGTGATACAGGAAGGGTTTAAATTTAGGAATGACTCCTATACCAATAGATCTTTTTAAAGAACACTGAGAATTCACTCTAATTCTTTTATTTTTACAGATTAAAAAAAGAAAGAATCCCAGATATGTTAAGTGATTTTAGCACTGTCACACAGTTAATATGAGTGAGGACTACTTGGAACCAGATCTGTTGACCTCAATCCTTTGTTCTATTAGTGCTACTCAGGGTAGCACTTTGGATCAGTGCCAGGCATCAACTGATTCTTACTATTCACTGATGAGATAAGGAGTTTGCACCAGAATATAAATTAATGCACCAAATATATAAGTCAATGCTTCCTTCATCTAGAAAGTCTTACTCAGAAAAAAGGTCAGCAGAATGAAACAGTGTGCTTAGTAGCACAGTTCATTTACATTCTGGCTCAACCGTCTTTGCTCATTAGAGAGAAGTAATGAATGCTTTCCCACTGTACTTGCCCTTTGAGTAGCACTGTCTGGCTATTTATTATACATGTGATGAGGGTGTAAGTATCTCATTTGCAAATGAACAGAGATTAAACCAAGAATAAACTTTCTTAGTTGCCTTTATTCTGGATAGTGAACCTTGAGTTTTTTATGGCAAGTCATAGGATAAGAAAATTGAAAATCACTGAAGTAGAGATTTGTAAGGTAGCTACCGATTGAGATAGAGCAAGATTGTTTGAAACCTCCTTGGAAGTAAAGAAATTTCTATTTTATTATCTAGTGTAAGCAAGTATTTAATAAAAGTTGATTAAATTATTACATTCAAAGAATAAATATTTATTACTTCTTCTGAGAATTTGATATGTATTTTTCTCCAATAGGCCTCATCATGGAAAATGGGACTTGCATCTCCTTGGAAAGTTGCCCATGTAGTTTTCATGGATTAGCTTATTCAGTTGGTTCCAAAATTGAACAAGAATGCACCGAATGGTATGTGACCAATGCACAGCCAATTATTTCTGGGGACCTGGCTGGGTGACAACTTTATACTAGTATAACATATGTTTAAAAGAATATACTTATTACTAATTTTCTTCCCCAAATTCCAAGACGCAGTTTGCATTTTATTTAAAGTTGGTACAAGGGTGGGGGAACATTTGCACATTCTTTTATAATGCAATTCTTCTCACTTCCCTTGGCAGTTTCATAAAATCTTTACCTATGTTGTATTTCTTATTATTTTTGATTACTAATTTGCACACACTTTTACTCTTAGAATTGATGGTTCTCCTGACCTTCTCTATTGAGTACTTTTAAAAAATATATGTTTTTTTTATTGATTTCAGAGAGGAAGAGAGAGAGAGAGAGAGAGAGAGAGAGAGAGAGAGAGAGAGAGAGAAAGAGAAACATTAATGATGAGAGAGAACCATTGATTGGCTGCCTCCTGCACACTCCACACTGGGGATCGAGCCTACAACCTGCGTAGGTGCCCTGACCGGAAATTGAACCTTGACCTCCTGGTTCATAGGTTGATGCTCCACCACTGAGGTATGCTGGCCAGGCTCTATTGAGTACTTTAAAAAGTGACTCCATATTGCATTTTTGGCCATAATTAGAGACATTTAGAATTTCTTATTAAATTAGCTAAGACTGTTGTAGGCAAGGATTGCTCCCTCCAGTGCAGCCCTAAAAAGAAACAAAGATCTAAATATCATCAGGCTCCTTCCCCTTTGGTGTAAGTGTATACAACGGAAATGCAATTGGATAACTAACTCTATTCTTAAATACCAATTTGAGTTTCTGCCTTTCAGAGACTGCTCTGTCCTCCCAAACTAATATCTTCTGGATGGTAGAAGCTAGAATTTATCTTATAAAAATACATCTTTTCTCTCTTCAATGTCTGATGATCTTCAGAACCAATTTTCTTAATTTGTAGTGCATGAGATAATGTATGAATCGGAACTCATTATGTGTATTTCTCTAATGATATAGGCAAATACGTTTGTGTGTGTATGAGCTCTTTTAGTTTAAGCAATAAGAGAAGGACCAAAGCAGAGGTTCTTTGTTTGATTAGTATTCACTTTGTATCACCTTTAGTGACTTTTAAGTATGACACACAACAAATAATAATTTAGATGCTGGCCAGCACAAATTTAGCAGTTAATTGGACTTCGGCAGAGAGCTTTTTCAAGTCAGATTATTCTGAGCCTATAAACATTGTATATTTTGGTACATTTATCAATATATTGATGCAAACAGTACAGTTTTTCTATACCAGTAGATTAATATTTTATCATTTTATTTAGTGTATGTGTTGGTGGCATTTGGAACTGCACTGAGCATGACTGCCCAGGTAATCTTTTTAACACTTTTTTTTTTAAATGCCTCAGGTGTTTTTTTTTTTAAATTAAGGAGCAAGATAGCACTGATTTTTATGATGTCATCTCATATATCATGAGAGATGTAATCATCTCAAAATCCAGGTAGTCAGAGGACAAATGGAAAATTGAATAAATGATAGCTTTGAGCAGGCAATTTTGGTACAAACTTATTAAAATAGTAAAGATATTATAAAACTTAAAACATATGTGAAATAGCTATCATTTAATAAACTTTAAATTAAATTGAATAACATAATTTAGTAAGTTTGTCAAACTAATTTTAAACATTTAGCTATTTTTTTTGATACATGATTATTTACCTTAAGTTGGCCTGCTTTTTAGAGAATAAATAATTTCTTTTCCTTCTCTATTCCTTTCTTTCTTTCTTTCCTTTTTTTTTTTTGGTAGTTCAATGTTCTGTTGTAGGTGATTCTCATTTTACAACTTTTGATGGTCGACATTATTCTTTTATTGGAATGTGTCAATATATCCTTGTGAAAGCAACTGGAAAGGAGAAATTCACAATTACCTTACAGAAAGCTCACTGTGAGCAGGTAAGAATATCTCAAAATGACCAGAGAAATGTTCATTTTTTTACTCCAATTTTATATCCAGGTTAAGAATAGTAACATGAGTAGGCATAGTTATTTTCTTCAAAAATAAAACACTGTTGATTGCTAAGATGCATCATTCTCTATGTACTGCAAAGAAAGAAAAAAATGTTGATAATCTGTTATACTACTGATCATATGATGTGTCTTGATTTCAGAGATATTAAAGTATGAGAATAAATATGTCTTAAATTAAATATATATTTCATGGCATTTTCTTTCTTTTAAAAATAATATTTGTATGTATAGGTTTTTTGAGCATTACATGCATAATGACACAGTAGACTTGTTTCTGGTTACTTCCAAACCACTATTTTAAAGAGATGATTTTTATAGGATTGGTCAAGTTTCATATCATCCTAAATAAATATGACAAATTTCTTAGCATACAGAAACATTTATTTTAAGTTTTTTCTTCAAATAAACACATCAATAATTTGTAAATAAAGATACCTGGATCATTCCTCTCTCTAATTCAGGTAGTCAAAATTTTTCAGAAATCATTACTATAATATAAAATGGTTATTTCCAGTAAAAATTTTCAACCACTTTATTTGCTTTTTCCCCTAGTTTGATTTTTTCCTTTGCCATATGTTAGAGTCTGAATAAGCTTTCTACATAGAATCATAACTTTCTATGTTTTTTCTTTATTGACTTTTATGTCTAATATGTCACTTATATGAATTTAGAGAGGTACTTTACTATAGCTATGAAAAACATGATTATTGGAACTAAATTAAAACCATTATTTAATGTTCTATATAAAATATATGTGTATATATGGTATTTTAATATACTATACAATGACATATTTTATTAGTAATGGGACTGCATGAAATGGATTATGCAGTAATTACTTTATTATATAAGTAATATATAATATTAATATATAATATTACTTATGCCTTCTACATATCAGAAATTCTTATCTATGTACATTCTTTTTTTCCTTCCTCTTCTTTCTCTCCTCTTTCTCATTTTTCTCTTCTATTGTTCCTGTTTCTTTCCATGTCTCTTTATCTCTCTCATCTCTTTATTTGGTTATTTGATTTTTATGCAGAATCTTGGCTTGGTCTGCCTTCAGTCTATAACTCTAATTCTGGATGATGATTTTGATAAACAAGTAACCCTTAGTCGGGGAGGACAAATCATCACCAGTCCTAACCAAGGCTTCAATCTGAATGGTAAGAAGCAATGCTAACAGAGTACTTTCCTTACAATAAAACAACAAAACAACCTAAATGGAGACTTCTCCCATTGGCTGCCTATCCTAAAATTTGAGTGTCTTTGTGTTGTCAGATCCTTAATTGGACACACTAAAGACCACCTTGTTTATGGGACCTAGTGTTTACCTAGCATTACGTGGCCTAGAGTTTGGAAGGGGAGCTATACAAGCAAACAGCCACCTATATAACATACAATAAACTCAAAGATATGCATAGGGACGTTGGGGGTCTAAATGAGTGTAACTCTCCCAGCCTTGGGGTGGGGTATGCAGGTCAGGAAAATTTTCTGAAGGAGGTGATGCCTCATTGAGCATTTAAAACTGAGGATTGCCGGGATGAAAGAGAAGGTGAAAGTGTCCCATGCATAGCAAAGAGATGTGGAACTCTGCAGTATGTTTAGGGGGAACTATAGCCAGTGTGGCATTGCTGAAGCCTGAAGAGGGTAAATGGAGAATATCCAGAGATGAAAATAGGAAAATAGGTGGGGATGAGACACCCAGAAATGTCCTGGTTTGTAGAAATTACATGGTCATTCTACTGATTGTCATGCTAAGAAGTTGAACTTGATATAAAATTGAATATGAGATAATCATCATTTTACCAATTTTTATGAATAAAAATGACAATCTTATGTGGTTCAACCAAAATAAATAGCCAGTTTTAATGAGGAGGCTGATATATATTTTTTTGGGTGGGGGAGAGAATACTAAAACAATGTCAGAATTTCTAACTAACATGGAGAACAGATAGAATGTTGTTAACGTAGGGCATGCAAACAATGAAGAAGAACTGATCTAAGGCAGTAACAATAGAGATAGAAAAAAGAAGATTGCTTTAAACATTATTTAGGAAAAAATGGTCTGATCTTGGTGATGGATTAGATTGGGGTTGGTTGGAGGAATGCAAATAAAGGATGAAATGATCAAAGAATGATTCTCAGATTTCTGGGTTTGGTGATCAGATGATGGCAGAAATCATGAGAGATAGGAGAGCAACTTTTCTGGTGGCAAAAGTCATCAGTTTAGTCTTGAACACAAGTTTCTTGTCTTTAAAGGCATTTCATATAATCTATTTCTCAAGTGCTGTGCTCCTCCTTTTGCTGTCAGGCTCAAGGGAATGGGGAATTTTGAGGGAAAGTGCTACTTCCTTATTGGATCATAAGGAGTTTTGGGAAACACACACACACACACACACACACACACACACACACACATGTTGAGGAAGAGAGATCAGCTTTCAAATGTCTAAGGACTGTCCACCCCGCCATGAGATGTTTGACAACTGAAACTACATGTGTACCTGACAATCTATTAAACATATTAGCTTAGGATCCAGAAAGGAGGGACAGAAGGGAAATGGGAGGAAAGAAAGCAGGCACAAGGTGGCAAAAATTAGGCCTGGAGCCCAAGGGCGGGAACTGGGAACCTGCCTCCCCACATCCCAGTCTCTTGGAAGGAGAGTCCTGGTGTTGCACGCTAGCATTTCAGAATACTGTACTGCGTATAAATCTCAAGGCTGACTTATGTATGTTATTTTCCTGCAGGAATTGTTGAAATTCAAACAGTGTCATCCTTATTTATCCTTCTAAAAACCACGTTTGGCTTAAAGATTCTGTTTGCTATAGATGGGGAAAGAGTTTATATTCAGCTCACCAGTACATGGAAAAGAAGAACACTAGGTCTATGTGGCACTTTTAATGGGAACATAAGGGATGATTTTCTGTAAGTATGATTTCTGTAGAACTAACATGATTTAATGACTAGTGATGTAGAGGATATAAACATTTTCAGTAAAAATGTTTAACCATAAGATAGCTTAGTCACCAATGTTCCAAGAGCTTCAAATGGACCATCACATTTAAATGTTATAGCAATCCACAGATTTGCATCAGTTGGTTTTATAGAGAAGAAAACCAACTGAGGCCAAAAGGTGGCAAATAAATAGTTCAAAGTCACTTAGCTCAAATAGAGTGGAGCTGGGCTTTGAGTTTAGATAGAGTGACTCAGAGCTTGTGGGATAACCCACAGGATAACTACCTGTTATACTTTCCCCTGCCACCGACCAACCTGAACAGTATTTTTTTAAAAAAAATCTTAATATCATTTGGTATCAACAATAGTAAATTATACTTTAAAAATATTGATATCATTTAGTATGAATGACACCTCTAAAGCAACACTTTGGCATCTCAGCTAATTGGATTTTGTGATAGTTGGTGCTTACTCAGAAGAAAAGCAATAAAATCCATTTGTCCTCCTTGTAACGAAAAGCACTTTCGCCTACATGTGAAGAGACACAGTGGATAATTTAATGCAAATGCTCGGAGCATTAGTGTGAAGCATGGTGGGCAGGTGAAATAGTTTAATAGGCTCTCATCCTCAAGGAGCCCATTGCAGATTGGGAGGAGATAACAACCTTTAAGAAATACAGTGGGGCCTTGACTTACAAGTGTCCCGACTAACGAGTTTTTTGAGATACCAGCTGTCTCTCAGCCGATTTTTTGCATTGAGTTGATAGAGTAATTTGAGTTAACGAGCTCCTTAATGAGCTCCTTAACGAGCTCGGTCTCAGGGAACGAATTAAACTCATAAGTCAAGGCCCCACTGTAATTAGTTCCAGGTCAGGTGTTAATCAACAATACATTCATAAAGACTGAGGTAATTTTAAAGAGTTAAGTTGTGTAGTCATGGCTAGAAGCACAGCAGGAAGTTTGAGTAGGTGAGTGTGGGCTGAGTAGGCAGGAATGTTTTATGGAGAAGCTGTTCTCCAAATACCACTTAAAAAACCCCTTCTGTGTATTCCTCCTGCTTAGGGTTCTTTCCACCTCCTAATCTTTCTCATGAACTCCTTTTTTATACTTCTACCCAACTCAGACATTATTTGCTTCAAAAAGTGAGTTCATATCACACCAGACAAAATTAATTTTGTCTCTGTCACTATGAAAAGCTGTCATTTATGAGCCTGGTTTTCACTTAAAACTGAGGGTTTTGAGAATAAGAATCACATCCTTGATCCTTGTATTCTTAAGAACCAGCATAGACTATTATATGTAGTAGATCGTAGAACTGCACAGAGGTCTGACTTCTAATGGAGCACCAAGAAGAGAATTAGAATGGGCAAGGAGAACTGGCCTTTAAAAATTTTAACTTCAAAAGAAATTTTCTATCTTGTCTCCAGTGATTAAATTCGTTTTAGGTTTTTTTGTTTGTTTGTTTCATTTATTTGCAGGTCAGAATTTCGATACCTTTATACATATCTTCTGTTTCACAAGTGGTATTTTAGTGGCTTGGCTAAGATGTGCAGAAGAGACATTAAGCCTCTTTCTCTTCCTTGTTTATCAGAAGGGGTTAGCAGTCATTGTTTAACAGATGGCAGCTCTGTCTCCCTCCTCCTCAGGCACCAGTCTCCTCCATGTATAAACACGGAGGCGTGATAACAGTGCAGGATAATATTTCAGTTAGAGATAACTTTCTAACACTGTTTGGCTTTCCAAGCATAAGCAGTTAAAATTCTGTACTTCACAAAAGCAAATGAGAATCTGCAAACACAGTGGAATGGAAAATATTAATTACTTAACAATTTATTTTGCTTGACTTGTTATGGTAAGTTATGATAGGCCAAAGGTTCTTTTCTAAAATAAAATTCAGTAAATAAATGGGTTTACATTTACTCTCCTGATCATTTATTGTGTTTCTTGTTTTACGTGAACTAAGTGAGATAAGAGAGCCAAGCTCTGAGTCATTTCCTCCTGGGAACCCTGACTACACCCATCACCTTGACCTATTTTATTGTCTTTCGTAGGAATGAAGAGGGAAGGAAGGGAAAGAATGGAAAGAGCTAGTGCAAGTCATACAATTTCTTTGAGTTTCAGTGTTCTCTTTGAACAAAATGAGATTTTGGATTAGGTGTTTGTTATAACGTCTTACAATTTCAGAATGGTTAGATTTTGAGGAATAGGAAAAGGAAGGGAAAGGGGAAGGGTGGGGACAAGGCTGGGCATGGTGGAATGACTTGTGCAGCTCCTTCTTTTCTCTTTTCTCAGTCATTGTGGTGAGAAGCTCCTTATGGTTGGTTAGTGGTGTCTGAGCTTAATAATAACCAAAGCACTTAATTTATTAGGACACTACAGAGAGCCAAGATAAAGCCCACGCTACCATTTAGCCATGTTTTAGCAATTAATGCAGTTAGGGCTTTTGTTAGTGAAGTTTTACTTAGTCAAAGCTTCCTATAGGAGACTTGGTCCAACCTAAGTGGTTTTGACAGCAGATGGCATAGTGTCCAAGAGGGAGTGTCACTTACAAAATATTGGCTGATGAGTTAGTAAATCTTGATGGCTGCTGGAGGGGGCATTTTAGTGTTTGGCTATTGAACATTGTTGTGGTTTATAAGCCTGACTTCAGAAAAGTGGCTGTTTCTCTTCCATTTCGATTTGCTGAGAGGAATTGAAGAAATTCTCAAGTTTGGATGAAGGGTGCCTTTTATACCATTTTTTCTCAATTTTCTTTTGGTTTGTTTATGCAACTTCATGATGGAACCTCAGTATTTCAGGCATTTCAGACCTCATAATGGAAATTGAAATGCTGAACCAGAATTATAGACTATTTATTATTTTTAAAAATATATTTTATTGATTTCAGAGAGGAAGGGAGAGGAAAAGAGAAACAAAAACGGCAATGATGCTCCTGCACAATTCCTACTGGGGACTGAGCATGTGCCCAGACCAGTAATCAAATCATAACCTCCTGGTTCACAGGTTGATGCTGAACCACACTGACAGGGCTAGACTATTTATTCTTTGGGACATTTGTCTCTACACTTAAAGGAATCATGTGAGCTACCTACCTCTTTGTTTTTTCATATACTTTAAACCACACACAGATTATTATTTTGGTTGTGTGATGTTTCATTAAGTCAGTGCAAACTGGATTTGAATCTTGGCTACTTGGCTATGACACTTATCAGCTGAGTGAACGTTAATAGTTCTCTGAGCTTCTGCTTTGCTTTCTTTCTAAAGGGGGATAAAGACATTTTTACTTTATTTTATTTAATTATTTTATTTTTTCCACGAGGCTGATTATTAAATGAAACCATGTATGTCCACAATTTGAAACATTGTAAAGTCTTAATAATAGGAAATTAATACCATGTATATTTTTAAAAATAATAGAACATTTTAAGTTCTAAAATTTCTTTGTAAATTAAAAATAACATCTTTTTTTCAGCATTTAGAGACTGTGAACAAATGAAAGGAATGGGAGAGACTAAGATGAATATTACCTTTTTGCTTTCTAGTTCTCCATCAGGCATGATAGAAGGCACACCACAACTTCATGCAAATGCTTGGCGAGTTTCCTCCACTTGTTTTGCACCTGTTCATGTTCCTATGGTGGACCCCTGTAACATTAATCAACAAAACAGTAAGTCCTTCTTTCTACTTGTAAACTTAGGGGAATAAGTAGTGATTTTAAGATAGTGATTTTAAATTCTGATTCTCTTCATTCGGATAATATTGATGCCATTCCTTATGTATTTTTGTTTAATACTCTGCCTTTACGTACTCCTCTTTATGCAATGTATATTATTTTTAAAAAGAGCTCCATAAAATGACTCTTTTATTTACTTCTTTGCATTCATACATTTACTTATTTTAGGCACGTGAGCTAGCATTTTGGTGTGTTCAGATTAAATGATTAAGAAAAACTTCTGGAAAATCTCTAATAGTGCTGTTAGTCTTGGGATGTTTGACTTTAGTTCCCTAATCTGACAGCTCATGCAGGTTCTCTTGTTTATTACTATCACATTATGAGTTCCTACTCACAGAATATATTATGGTTTCATAAGGAGGAAGCCAGTGATTCAAGGAAGCTTTGTGCCATCAAGCGTGAGACAATTTGAGATGGTCATGCTCCAGGTTTGCAATTTGCAATGACAGTGCAACTCACACGCCAAGAATTTTTGGCTGTATTTTTTTAACTAAAGCCACAGCAAACCATGTGAAAGGCTTTTTCACTGCTCACTAAAAAGGCACATTATTATTTTATTTTTATAAAATCACTTTGTAAAATAAGTGTGCATGCTTAAATAAATTTAAAATGTTTTAATTTGTTTCTTTAATTTTGGCTAGTTTTTGTGTGTGTGTGTGTGTGTGTGTGTGTGTAATTTTAAAAAATTCGCTATTAATATTGGTTGAGTACCTACGTAAAATCAGTACGATTTCTGGATTTTGTAGTGGTTGTTTGGTAGGATTCTGTTGATTGTCATGTGGTCCTTGTTATTAACCTACAGTTTTGGTGTACTGGAAAAAACAACAATAAAATAATGCTGCTTTTAGTGCTGTCTTTTTACCTAAGCCAGTTTCTAAACTTGAAGAAGACTATTAACCTCTTTGGTAATTTTTTCTATCTATAATAATAGGACTAGACCATAGTCTTTTGGTCTCTATAGATTGAATACTTTCATCTCACTCTCATTTACCAACACTTTCCCCCATTTTGTTCTTAACTTTCTATTAATAAATCTACTTCTCCTTCAATTAGTTTTATTCAGCTTGTTTCTAACTTTCTCAGTTCCCTCCTTGATATTGCAGCAAGTTTATATTTTTAATTATTTTGATAACATGTAAAAGTTGGAGTAGAATATAATTGATAAATTCAGTTTTCCTTTTCTTTAATTACCTCCTTTATTACATTCCATTTTGTTATATACTTTTATCACTTCTATCCCTATATCTCATGTTTTCTTTGATATATATTTTAGATATTATCCTCTTCACCTTTGCCATGAACTATTAAAAAAAATTCAGGTTGGAGATTAACATTGGCAAATATGTTCTCCCTTGCAGTGGGCTTTCTTGTTGTTTTGTTGATGGTTTCTTTTGCTGTGCAGAAGCTTTTTATTTTGATGTAGTCCCATTTGTTTATTTTCTCCTTAGT